GATCATGGTATCCAGTCCCAACATTTCATTGCAAATAGATGGGGAAAAATTGGAAATAGTGACAGAGATTATTTTCCTGGGCTCCAAAATCACTGCAGATGGTGACTGCAGCCATGAAATTAAAAGACACTTCCTCCTTTGAAGAAAAGCTATGACTAACCTAAACAGCATATTAAAAAGCAGACATTACTTTGCCCACAAAAGTGTTAGTCAAAGTTATGGCTTTTCAAGTAGTCATGTAGGATATGAGAGTTGGATATGGGTGGCCAATAATTGATGCTTTTGAACTGTGGTGTTGGAGAAGACTCTTGAGAGTCCCTCGGACTGTAAGGAGATCAAACCAGTCTATCCAAAAGTAAATCAGTCCTGGATATTCATTGGAAGGATTGATGCTGAGGCTGAAACTCCAATACTTTGGAAACCTGGTGGGAAGAACGGACTCATTGGAAAAGACCCTGATGCTGGGAAAGATTAAAGGCAGGAGGAGAAGGGTATGACAGAGGATGAGATGGCTGGATGGCATCACCAACTCGATGGCCATGAGTTTGAGCAGGCTCTGGGAGTGGGTGATGGACATGGAGGCCTGGCATGCTGCAGCCCATGGGGTCACAGAGTCAGACAGGACTGAGGACTGAACTGATCTTGGTCCTGAGATTAAGTTACTACCTTTTTCATGACCTTGGCCACTTTCTCTTACCTTGGACGTGGGGTATCTCTTCACGGCTGCTCCAGTAAATCACAGTCACTACTCCTGACATTGAACTTGGGGTATCTCCTCCTGGGCACTGGACGTGGGGTATCTCCTCCAAGCTGCTCGCTGTTCCAGCACTGAACAGCTGCACAAGCTAAGAGAAACCCCTGTAATATGAAAGGTGCTGAGAGAGGGCATCAGAGGGCAGACAGACTGGAACCACAGTCACAGAAAACTAACCAGTCTAATCACAGGACCACAGTCTTGTGTAACTCAATGAAATTAAGCCACGCTGTGTAGGGCCACCCAAGATGGAAGGGTCATGGTGGAGAGTTCTGACAAAATGTGGTCCACTGGAGAAGGGAATGGCAAACCACTTCAGTATTCTTGCCTTGAGAAATCCATGAACAGGATGAAAAGGCAAAAAGTAAGACATTAAAAGATGAACTCCTCAGGTCAGTAGGCACCCAAAATGCTACTGGAGATCAGCAGGGAAATAAATCCAGAAATAATGAAGAGATGGAGCGAAAGCAAAAACAACACACAGTTGTGGATGTGACTGGGGATAGAAGTAAGGTCCGATGCTGTAAAGAGCAATATTGCATAGGAATCTGGAATGTTAGGTCCATGAATCAAGGCAAATTGGAAGTGGTCAAAGAGGAGATGGCAAGAGTGAGCATTGACATTTAGGAATCAGTGAATTAAAATGGACTGGAACTGGTGAATTTAACTCACATGACCACTGTGTCTACTACTGTGGCCAAGAATCCCTTCAATGAAATGGAGTACCCATCACAGTCAACAAGAGAGTCCAAATGGATGCAATCTCAAAAACGACAGAATGATCTCTCTTCATTTCCAAGGCAAACCATTCAATATCACAGTAATCCGAGTCTATGCCCTGACCAACAACACTAAAGAAGCTGAAGTTGAATGGTTCTATGAAGACCGACAAGATCTTTTAGAACTGATACCCCAAAATGCTGAGTTTTTCATTATAGGTGACTGGAATACAAAAGTAATAAGTCAAACACCCAGAGTAACAGGCAAATTTAGCCTTAGAGTACAGAATGAAGCAGGGAAAAGGCTAATAGAGTTCTGCCAAGAGAAGAAACTAGTCAGAGCAAAGAGCCTCTTCAAATAACACAAGAGAAGACTACACATGGACCTCACCAGATGGCCAACATTGAAATCAGATTGATTTATATTCTTTGCAGTCAAAGAAAGAGAAGCTCTCTACAGTCAGTAAAAACAAGACCAGGAGCTGATTATGACTCAGATCATGAAGTCCTTATTGCCAAATTCAGACTGAAATGGAGAAAGTAGGGAAAAACCACTAAACCACTAACATGTGACCTAAATCAAATCTCTTACCATTATACAGTGGAAGTGAGAAATAGATTTAAAGGACTAGATCTGATTGAGTCCCTGATGATCTATGGATGGAGGTTCATGATATTGTAGAGGAGACAGGGATCAAGACCATCCCCAAGAAAAAGAAATGCAAAAAATCCAAAATGGCTGTCTGAGTAGGCCTTACAGGTAGCTGTGAAAAGAAGAAAAGTGAAAGGCAAAGGAGGAAAGGAAAGATATACCTATTTGAATGCAGACTTCCAACGAATAGCAAGGAGAGATAAGAAAGCCTTCCTCAGTGATCAGTGCAAAGAAATAGAGGAAAACAACAGAATGGGAAAGACTAGAGACCTCTTCAAGAAAATCAGAGATACCAAGGGAACATTTCATGCAAAGATGGGAGAATAAAGGACAGAAATGGTATGAAACTAACAGAAGATATTTAAAAGAGGTGGGAAGAATACACAGAAATGTACAAAAAAGATCGTCACGACCCAGACAATCACAAAGGTGTGATCACTCACCTATAGCCAGACATCCTGGAATGAGAAGTTGAGTGAGCCTTAGGAAGCATTACTATGAACAAAGCTAATGGAGGTGATGGAATTCCAGGAAAGCTATTTCAAATCCTAAAAGACAATGCTGTGAACATGCTGCACTCAACATACCAGTAAAATTGGAAACTCAGCCGTGGCTACAGGACTGGAAAAGGTCAGTTTTCACTCCAACCTGAAAGAAAGGCAATGCCAAAGAATGGTCAAACTACCACACAAATGCACTCATCTCACACGCTAGCAAAGTAATGCTCAAAGTTCTCCAAGCCACACTTCAGCAATATGTGAACCATGAAATTCCAGATGTTCTAGCTGGTTTGAGAATAGGCAGAGGAACCAGAGATCAAGTTGCCAACATTCACTGGACCATTGAAAAAGCAAGAGAGTTCCAGAAAAACATCTATTTCTGCCTTACTGACAATGCCAAAATCTTTGACTTAGTGGATCACAATAAAGTGTGGGAAATTCTGAAAAAGATGGGAGTAACAAACCACCTGACCTGCCTCTAGAGAAACCTGTATGCAATTCAGGAAGCAACAGGTAGAACTGAACATGTAACAACTGACTGGTTCTAAATAGGAATAGGTATATGTCAAGGCTGTATATTGTCACCCTGCTTATTCAACTTATATGCAGAGTACATCATGAGAAACATTCCAGCTGGGTGAAGCCCAAGCTGGAATCAAGGTTGCCAAGAGAAATATCAATAACCTCAGATATGCAGATGATACCACCCTTATGGCAGAAAGTGAAGATTTTGTACTCCAAAATCGCTGCAGATGATGACTGCAGCCATGAAATCAAGACGCTTACTCCTTGGAAGGAAAGTCTCGGCCAACCTGCACAGCATATTAAAAAGCAGAGGCATTACTTTGCCAACAAAGGTCCATCTAGTCAAGGCTATGGTTTTTCCAGTGGTCATGTATGGATGTGAGATTTGGACTGTGAAGAAAGCTGAGTGCCAAAAAATTGATGCTTTCCAACTGTGGTGTTGGAGAAGACTCTTGAGAGTCCCTTGGACTGCAAGGAGTTTCAACAAGTCCATCAAAGGAGATCAGTCCTGGGTGTTCATTAGAAAGGCTGATGTTGAAGCTGAAATTCTAATCCTTTGGCCACTTCATGTGAAGAGTTCACTCACTGGAAAAGACCCTGATGTTGGGAGGGATTGGGGGCAGGAGGAGAAGGGGACGACAGAGGATGAGATGGCTGGGTGGCATCACCGACTGGATGGGCATGACTTTGAGTAAACTCCAGGAGTTGATGATGGACAGGGAGGCCTGGCGTGCTGTGATTCATGGGGTCACAAGGAGTCGGACACGACTGAGCGACTGAACTGAACTGTACCAGTTGAGCTGAGATGGCTCCTACCTTTCGTCCGGTGGCCGGACTTCAGGGTTAACTTCTACTTCTGTCAAAGGTAAGCATAACTTTTTTCCATGTGAAGCCTACACTTTAGATAGAATATCTCTTCCTAGGATGGGGGTTTTGCTGCAGATGAATGGATGAGATGGGTGGAGGGGGCCCCTCAGCTACACAAGGTGGCCTGTGGCCTGCTGGCCTGGTGGTGAAGCTAGGTCATGGGAGACTCTGAGGGTGGCGGAGGCTGGCCGGAGTCCCAGGCATCACAGGACCAGCCTCGTGTGTGTGGTGGTGGCACCCTCGTTTTCCTGGTGGCCGGTCATGACTCGGTCTTTCTGATCACCACACAGTGCACGTGCCCCTGTCCTCCGGCCCTCCCTGTGTGGGCTTGTTGCCTTTCCCTGTCACTGCCGGCTTTCCCTCCTCCTAGCCTGCCCCACACAGGTGACCGCCCAGTGCCCCCTTCCCCTGTTTAGGACCTAACCAGCCTCACCTCATGTGGGTGTCATTCCCTGGTCTCCGTGGCTGGTGGCATTCCTGGGCAGAGAAGTGCCCTCGATCCCCGAGGGGTGAAGCTGGGCACAGCAGGTTGCGCGTGAGGGCTGTGGAGGCGCCGGTATGCGGCGGGAGAACGTTCTCCCTGACCAGTTGCTGGGGCTCTGGGTGTTGGCGGTGGTGGGTGCAAGCCCCAACATGGGGGCCCCATGGGCTCAGGAAGGGAAGTATCCGTTCTAGGGCCCAGGGGACCGCTCCTATGCTGGAGTCTTCTGGCGGTGAGATTCCCATGGTGTGACCCGGAAGCAGTTCCGGATCACTTGGAATGGCTTCCGGGCCACTTGCTATCGCTCATGGCCACACCACCTCCACCACCAGTCTGTGCCACTGCCGTATCTTTGGCACATGGGCCTACATGGCTGCGCTCAGTCAGTGACTCCTCCGTCCTGTCTGCTGATCCCCAGGGCTGCGCCCTGGTGTGTCTCACTTCGCCGGGCCAACCATGGCCCTGCTCCATTGCCCTTTGCCATCTTCTGTCCACCGACGTCATGTGCTGGACCAGGAGGAGCACACGTGCCCCCAGCATTCTCGCGCTGAAGTGCGTTCGCCTGAGTACGCAGTCCCCGGCTGGCTGCAGTGCCTGTACCGCCCGCCCCCTTGGGGGCGGGGGTGGAAGCGAGGATGCCACTGCTGTCCCAGATGTGCCCGGCTGGTGTCCTTGGCCCCACGTCCGAGCCCGCCGGGCCCTCTACGAGGGTCTCCCCATCAGAAATTCGGGGCAGAACCACTGCGTCCCCCGTGGACGGAGCATGGGGGATCGTTCCGCCTCGCCACGGGTGGAGTGGGTCAGCTGGCCCGGGGTGATCGCCGTCCCCCTTCCTCACCTCGTGGGGTTTCACTGCCACCGCTCTTCACCCCACGCCCAGCACGCCAGGCGCCCTGTGCTCACTTGGCATTCCCAGGTGGTGAAGTAGTGAAGAATCAGCCTGCTAAAGCAGGCAGTTGCAAAAGATGCAAGTTTGATCCCTGCCTGTGGAAGATCCTCTGGCGGAGGAAATGGCAACCCCCTCATGTACTCTTGCCTGGAAAATCCCTTGGACAGAGGAGCCTGGTGGGCTGCAGTTCATGGGGTCGTAGTCAGAGAGGCGGACGCGACTGAGCACATGCACATATACACATGAGAAAAATGATAGAATCCTAGTCACAACTCAACTGTTGTGTAAAGAATTTTGTAATGGCTTTCCAGAAATGCCATATTTAGTAGCTGAGTTAGTAGAAGGAGAACCCGGATTACACAGGAGGGTTGAGAAAGTGGTTCCTGTATCAAGTAGGAATTTAACAGGATGGCTTCCTCCAGTTAGAGTCCCCTGGGGCTCCTGTGTGGTGCTGAAGACAGGGGCCAAAATGGGAAGCCCTGGGCCCTGTTAATCTTTATCTTGGATCTGAGTTTCTGACCCCTGAAACCTGCATCCCTGGGGATGTTACTCTTCCAGTGATCTCACTTGCAAGTGGGGCAAGGCCATGGGGGTGGCCTCTGCTTGCCTTTGGGGCCTTGTCCCTTAAAGTTTCCATCCTTGCCACAACAGAAACAGACTCCAGGTTTTTGCTTGTGTCCTCCCACCTTTGTAGCCCTAAAGTTAACTCCCTGTAGGGCCATAATGGGAGCTTCGGCCTTTCTCTTATTGTTATTCTCTTTTTCCTTAGGTTCATCCTGATTACGATTTAAGAATACTGATGTGGCAGCTCTTACCAGTGTGGGAGTTAGAGGAGGTGAGGTTCAGAAAAAGAAGGAGACCGGCACTTTATGGAACAAATTCACCTTTAGTGAGGCAAGAAGGGGAAGCAGTCAGATTAGTGAGCTGCTGTACTAACCCAAGGAAAGAGTAAGTATACATAGGCATATATGTGGATATCTACTGTTAAGGGGGCCTGTTCTTCTCTAAGGTTGTCTAGAGTGAATGAAGTTGCTCAGTCATGTCCAACTCTTTGTGACCGCATGGACTGTAGCCCTACCAGGCTCCTCCGCCCATGGGATTTTCCAGGCAAGAATACTGGAGTGGGTTGCCATTTCCTTCTCCAGGAGATCTTCTCAACTCACAGATTGGTCCCGGGTCTCCTGCATTGTTGGCAGATGCTGTACTGTCTGAGCTACAGGGAAGCCAGGGAAGTGTTTGGAATAGTTATCTCCTAAACGGCCAGGGTAAGGAATTCTGGAGACCAGCTGGGACCAGCTGGGAGCTGGGCATCATCAACCTTAATATCCATTTTTTTCTTCGGGTCAGAGTTCTTTGTTTTGCATAGAATGGTGGGGAGGACCTGGAGGGGAGTTTTAACTCCAGGCTATTTTGAGCAGTATTACTTTCCTTCAAGGAGGCCCTCTAAATCTATATGGGGGCCAAAGGCCAGTTTTGGGAGTTTCCTCTGGATACCTGGAGCTGATTGAGTAATAAACTTGTCTTTCAGGATAAGTTTGGGGCATCTAGGTCCAAATAAGTGTGCTTTCTCAGTGCTTCCCCGAGCCTTTCCAGAAAAGCTGTGTGAATTTCCTCCTTTTTCACGACTCATTCCAGATAGTTTGGAGTAGTCTAAGGGCTTACTTAGCTCGTGATTTTGTTAAGCCTTCCTTAATGCAAGTGATCAACTGAACTCTCTTCCAGTCATCACTGCCTTTGTCATGTGCCCAATTAGGATCAGCTATGAGCACTGCCTGGAGCCCTGTAGGTAACCAGGCTGATTCACTGTCAGGTCTCCCCTGCATGCTAGTAGCATACCATTCATCTCCCCATCCCTGGGCATCTTTAATTATGACTTATTTCATTGTCAGTAAGGGTGCTAGTCAGGATTAGCATAATATCTTTCATGCCATTTCAAAGATTGGTATAGACCCTGGAAAACACTTATATAATTGTCAGGATCTTCAGTAAAGCTTTCTAGGTCTAATTTAATTTGCCTTAAATCTCAGAGGGGGAAAGGAACATGGACTCCTGTGGCTCCCAAGTCCCCATTAGGAGCTTCTTGTAATGGAAGGAGGGAAGGATATAGCCTAGAGATCACCAGTGTTGGGTTAGGAGACACTGAGGTAGGAGCTGCTGCTGGTGCCCAAGGCATTACCAGAGATTGTGGAAGCTCCTGTGGGCTAGGTTTGGGCAGCTCTGGTTAAGGGCGACAGTTTGGACCTGAGGACTTGGAGGAAGTTATAGGCAGCATGGAAGAAGCAAGCCCACAACTCCTGGATTAGAGGGTTTTCTCTCTCAAGACAAAAACCTGTATATATGGCACTTCTGAACATTTTCCTTCTTGTCTACAAAATAGGTCTAGTTGGAGGATGGTATTATAACCAAATGAGCCCTCAGCGGGCCGTTTTTCACCATCAGATAGATCCTATTGAGGCTATGCCTTGGTGCAGAAAAAGATCATACTCTTCTTTACCACGGTCTAAGGGTTAAACTTCTAGTTCTTCAGTATACTTGCAAAAGGCATCTGCTTTGAGCTGGGTGTAGCGCATGAAGAGGTTGCTCCCATCTGAAAGACAGAAGACCAGCGCCCAGTGCTCTTTGTCTTTTCTCTGATTCTTTTAATAGAGGGTGTCCCCACCTTGCACAGTGGGAGCAAAGAAACACCAATAAAGTATGCTTCCCTCAACTTTGGAGTGTACCTGGTCTTCATCATCATTATCCGGTTACCCTTGAGTGTTGTCCTCTTCCTATCTCATATCTTCCTAGAGTGAGAGCCTAGGTTGGTGGACTCGCTGTGCTCTTGAACATTGGGTGTGCCTGAACTGGAGTTCCCCTAAAGCAAGCTATGTAGTGCACAAGGTTAATAGTATTTACACACACTCCAAAATGATCCTACCTTAAGTGAAAAATCTCATAACCTCTAAATGTTAGGAAAGAGAAATGGTAGATGTCATGTGGTTCTCACTGAGGCAACAGCTTAGCAGAGATTTTGCTCAGCACCCCTGCCAATCTGCTGGCTAATACCGAGACCTGAGGCCACTGTCTACTGACTCTGTCTGCCTTTGGGACTCGTGCAGGCTTGTGAAACAGAGTGGCTCAAGAGACCACACAGCTAGATTAGGTAATGAGAAGTGAATGACAGAGTTGAGAGTGAGTGTCTGTGCTTACCTTAAGTAGGTATTCAGGATTTCCAGACGAGCCCCCAAAAGATGAGACAGGAATCTGAGTTCTTGTCCACGCAGGCAAAAATGGAATCCATGAACATGCAAACACTCATGGTAGTAAGTGAATAACATTTATTAAAGAGGAGGAAAGTGCAAAGCTGTCAGCATAGAGAGGGGGTAAAGAGTCACCCCCAGGTGGTTTTGATACCCTTCCTTTAAATCACATTATTTCTAAACATTCAACTTAAAGGTCAAGATACTTAACATCATCTTTATTACTTCTTTTGATCCTTGGATTAAGTCACCCCCCTTTTTCATGCCCTCTGTCCATTTTACCATGGGCCAAATGCATGGATTTAAGATTAATGTGCTTTTTCCCTCAAGCACATGGAACAGAGTTTAATTGCTGCTCTCTTCTCTGGATCTAAGTGCTGATAATTTATCAGACTAAAGACACATTCCAGGAATTCAGGACAATGGATCAGGATGTTTACTGAAAACAAAACTGAGGTTTCAGAGTTGTAAATTGAGTGCCTAGGAATTTCTACTGCAGCACCACTATTATGGCAAAAAGCAAAAAGGAACTAAAGGTGAAAGAGGAGAGTAAAACAAACAAACAAACAAAAATACCAACTTAAAACTCGGCATTCAAAAAATTAAGATAATGGCATCTGAAACTATCATACGATAATGACCAAATTAGACAGCATATTAAAAAGCAGAGATATTACTTTGCCAACAAAGGTCCGTCTAGTCAAGTCTATGGTTTTTCCAGTGGTCATGTATGGATGTCAGAATTGGACTATAAGGAAAGCTGAGCGCCGAAGAATTGATGATTTTGAACTGTGTTGTGGGAGGAGACTCTTGAGAGTCCCTTGGACTGCAAGGAGATCCAAGCAGTCCATCATAAAGGAAATCAGTCCCTAATATTCATTGGAAGGACTGATGGTGAAGCTGAAACTCCAGTACTTTGGCCACCTGATGTAAAGAGCTGACTCATTTGAAAAGACCTTGATGATGGGAAAGATTGAGGGCGGGGGGAGAAGGAATGGCCTGAGGATGACATGTTTGGATGGCATCACTGACTCAATGAGCATGAGTTTGAGTAAACTCTGGGAGTTGGTGATGGACAGGGAGGCCTGGTGTGCTGCAGTCCATGGGGTAGCAAAGAGTTGGACATGACTGAGTGAATAAACTGAACTGAACTGAATGGCATCCAGTCTCATCACTCCATAACAAAGAGATGGAGAAACAATGGAAACAATGAGACTTTATTTTGGAGGGCTCCAAAATGACTGCAGACAGTGACTGCAGCCATGAAATTAAGATACTTTCTCCTTGAAAGAACAGCTATGACAAACCTAGACAGTGTATTAAAAAGCAGAGACATCACTTTACCAGACACGGTCCATAAAGTGAAGGCTATGGTTTTCCAGTAGTCATGTGTGGATGTGAGAGTTCAACCTTAAAGAAGGCTGAGCACCAACGAATTGATGCTTTTGAACTGTGTTGTTGGAGAAGACTCTTGAGAGTCCCTTGAACAGCGAGATCAAGCCAGTCAATTAACTCTGAATATTCATTGGAAGGACTGATGCTGAAGCTGCAGCTCCAATACTTTGGCCACCTGATGCGAAGAACTGACTCACTGTAAAATACCCTGATGCTGGGACAGATTGAAGACAGAAAGTGTGAACAGAGGATGAGGTGGTTGGATGGCATCACCCAGGCATTGGGCATGCGTTTGAGCAAGCTCTGGGAGTTGGTGATGGATAGGAAAGCCTTGTGTGCTGCAGTCCATGGGGTCTCAAAGAGTAGGACACCACTGAGCAACTGAACTCTAGGTCTTATCCCATCCAGTTTAGACGTTTTACATTTATTCATAATCACTCTGTGGTGTCCAACTCTTTCCAAACCCCATGGACTGCAGCCCGTCGGGCTCTTCCATCCATGGACTTCTCCAGGGAAGAATACTGGAGTGGGTAGCCAATTCCTTTTTCCAGGGGATCTATCCAACCCAGGGATGGGACATGGGTCTCCCACATTGCAGGCAGATTCTTTATTGTCTGAGCCACTAGCAAAGCCCAATCTAAGATTAGGAAATTGAATGTCTATACTTTTTAATTCATTCCCCTTCTTCTTTGGGTTACAATGTGGCATGAAGTCCCTTATGATGAGTTTTTTTCAGTCCAACCTCTTATCTAGGACTTAATTAACTGAAGAATTGTATAGAAGAAAAAATTACTATTTGTAGTTTGCAAGCTTAGTCCTTTAAAGCCATCACATTTTGTTTCTTCAAAATCCTTGGCTATGAACCACCAGTGTATTTGAAGCCAGGGGTTGAATGAAACATAATTTGAGGTGAGGAAGTATATAAGTAGAACACATTAATTCACTATTTCTTATATCATAATTATTTATCTACTGACACCAATATTAATCCTCCCTTAGACTGTGAAACTGCCTTGTGATTGGAATGGGAAGGAAGGGAGATGGCATAAATTGAAGCGAGGTTGAACTGTTTCCAGGTCTCAAGTTTAAGTGCAGACTTAAGAGCAACATATTGGTACTTTCAGTCAAAATTTCCACTTGCCATCACACTTGTGGTAAAGAGACCAATAGCTTTAAAATTATTGAATTAGAAAATGTGTTTTCCATGATCATAACTAATATCCGGTGAAACACAGATCCTGATTAAGGAGCTAAACTATTTTAATGGATTATAGTGACAATATCTACTTCTTACAAGTTTAAGAAAAAGGGAAAGTTGTTTTTCCAACAAACATATCTGTACTTCAGCAACATCATTTCTAATTCTGACCCTTGATTGTTATGTTTATTTTCATTTCTATTAGTAAATTGTTCTTTATAATCCTTATCAAGATTATATTTTCTTAAATCATCAAATTTTATATTAATATGTTCTTAAATGAAATGTTGAATAATGAATCGAATCTTTAATATCATCATAGGTTTTCAGTATGTGTTAAATGTAAATATATCTTATGGACATTTTTCATATGAATAGACTATAATGAATCATGCTATAATTTTAAATTATACCCTGTCATATTTATTCACCTTTATTCTTTTGTGATATAAGCTCCCCAGCTGATTTTTAACTAAACATTAAGGAACATATTTGCAGTTTTGCAGTATAATCATGCATACAATTTTAGTACACATTTCAACCATTTATCAATATTTATAAAAATGCACATTTCCATTTCTGATGTTCCAGGCTTTTACCTGCTTGAGAGTAAAAGAGTATGTAGTTTTTAAATTTGCCAACTGAAGGTGTATCCCCTGGTGGGTGGCCAGGGTTATGGATGAATAAACATTTCACAAACGTTATTAATAAGAAAATGGGGAGCTGGAACCCACACTCCCACCACGGTAAGGAGGGGTCCCGCCCACCATGCTCTGTCAACAGAGACTGCGTGGAGAGCACAGACACTATCTCCACCTGGCAGGAACAGAGCAGAGATCTCAACAGAGAGCCTGGAATGGAAATCGCGAAGAGCTGGGAGCCCTGCTCTCACCATCAGGACAAAAGAAGGTCAGAAGGGGCACTGAAGCAGATCAAAACTCAGACCAGAGGAAACGATGGGAGACTAAGTTCAGCGGAGGCAAACAGGCGTTTTCTCAGAATGACATCCCGGCCAGGAACGTTAAAAGTAACATTGACACATCTACCTACAGAGAGAGAAGAAATTTAAGTTTATCAAGATAAAGCCACAATTAACAGTTAAACGCTATGAGAGACTCATCTTCGGACATTAAGGCCCAACGAGTTAACGCACATGAGGAATCAGGATATTCCAGATCCTCAAATCCAAAACACCGTTTTTTCCCTCCAGGTCTTGTCTCCTCAACCTGAGAGAAAATTAGTAACCAAAATGACCCCGTCCCCACCCCGCCGCCTCCCGGGGCGCAGGCTCGCTCTCCCCCAAACTCAGCCGCGGCTGGACCCCGGGATGGACACCGCAGCCCCCCGGCCCCATAGCCCCTGCGCTCCCGAACGGGCCCTCTCGGCGCTCTGTCCCCGAAAGCCGCACTCCGGGGCCCCCAAGGAACCGCGCCACCTGACCCGGGCCAGCCGCCGCGCTCCACCCTTAGGCCACGGGCTGCCTCCACAGCCCTGGACGGTCCTGGCCCACACACCGCGTTCCCGGCCCCGGGCCTCGGGCTGCGGCTTCTCCAGGCCACGGCTGCCACCGGGACCGCTCGGTCCCCGGACGCTCTCCTGAGTCGAGGCCGTCGCTTCCCCGCCACGTGGAACAGGAGGGCGGCTGGCCAGGGCGACAGAGCTCCTGGCTTCAAAAAGTGTTCAATGCTCTCAGATAGAGTTTTGTATGAAAGTGTTAAAACAATATGAAAGGGAAAGTCGCGCACTTGTGTTCGACTCTGCTCTGCCATGGACTATACAGTCGATGGAATTCTCCAGGTCAGAACACTGGAGCCTTCCCCTTCTCCAGTGGATCTTCCCAACCCAGGGATTGAACCCGTCTCCTGCAATGCGGGCGGATTCTTTACTGTCTGAGTCACCAGGGGAAGCCCAGTTAGACAAAATTATTTATAACATTTCAAATGAAAAATGCTTTTGCTTAGTTTCACAGGGAGGAAAACAAATCACAGAGATAAGCCTCACTGTTCTCTGAAATGCAGATATTTGCTGCAAAGCAGATGTTCCCAGGGTAGTGGCACGCAATGAGCCTCTCAGCGAAGATTATTTTAGAGAACTGGGTTACTAGAATTATTGGAGTAGAATGGTTAAGAGACTTCTCTGCAAAAGAAACCTTCTCTGCCATATTTCAAATAACTTTAGAAAGAAGAAATGAGTATTTCAAAGTGCATTTTCTTCTAGGAAATTCAAAATGCATTCTAAGAGTGGGCTAGTTACTTCACTTTTGCATGAGAAGAAAATTAAATTTCTTTTAATAACAGAATCACCAAACAGCCGTGCCTAAAGATAATAACAACCAGCATTTCAAATCTTTTTAGTGAAAAAAACAAAACAAAACAAAACAAATCTTTTTAGTGTCCCTAGGAAGAAGGCTACTGACAAGCAAATGGAACTCAGTAATTAATAAGGATTTTGCTCTGGTCAGACTGTATGTTTAATAAAGTCCATCTTTCATTTACTCATATTTATTTAGCCCCTAATCTTTGTCAGGCTGAATGCTAGTTACTAAAAAGGAATAAATACAGGGATACACAGTATAGTGAGAAGACAGATGTGTGACAGATGACAGTCATAAGCCGTCATGAAAATTGAACAAATAATAAGATATATTGATTTACTTAGTCAAAGGTGTCTGAACTATCCCTGTAAAATCTGATAGCATAGTATGTTCATTTCTTAAATATGCTAATAGCTATGTTTATTTGCCTGTTAATTTGTTGGTTATTCATCACTCCAAGTACATCTGAGAAATAAAGATAATTTGAAATATCATGCTAGAAATACACTTCCCTGATGAAGTTCAGACATGTGAGTACTCATTGCAAACTCTCATCTTGGTAGAAACCTGTGTTCATAAAATACATTTTGATCTCCAAAAAAGCATTTTGTATTTTTCAAGATAGTACTGATTCTAAATGCAACGTCGTTTGAATTTATCTTCAGGCTAAATCTTTAAAAGTGTACACACGCAGGACTTCTAGAAGGCAGTGGAATATGAGAAACAGAAAGAAATTATATGCTGATACCTCATGAAACTAAGCCTCATGAGGCTAAGTGATATTTTATAACCCAGTGACATGCAAACACAGGGGGAGGAAAGGGTGCCATGATTTTTCAGGTATCTCTGAAAATTTTAACTATGATATAAATACCGAAGAGACCTATCAAACATTTGAAATACTTATAAACTATCTTGCTAGCTCCTCCTGCCTTTTCCAAACTTGTGTCTTCTTCATTTCCCAGAAAATTGAGTGCCTCACTATTCACTCAATGACAGAAATTCAAAACTTGAACTTCATACTTTTGTCTTTTGTAAAAATATTAAGTCACTGTTTAAGTTTCTACATACTAATACCACTCCAAATACCTTACTATATTTTAAAAGATATTCTATTTGTCTTCTGAAATTTTCATGAAGCTCAGTACTTCGCAAAGTATCTAGAATCTCACCACGGATTCCTCCTGCACAATTTAATGTGGAAAAATAATTTTGTAAAATGCAACAGGTATACAGCACTAGAAACATGTAAGCAATGAAGACATATAAAATGCAAAATCTATTTTTATTAGAAACAAGAAAGAAAACCACATTACAGTAAACATATTCAAGATAAATATGATAGGAACAAAGTACAAGCATTTTATACATTGTTATAGAAACTATGCAAGGGGATGAATTTGGATAATTGCTTTTACAATTGATTGTTTGCCTCCTTCAGTATTAAAAGAAGAAAACTGTGACTCCTCATCTTAACTACCTATGTGCAAACATTAAACAAGTCCATTTGTCATATTAAAACTCAAACTATTGATATACACAGTGTTTGCCCAATGTGTTTATATATATTTTGACAAATGTACCCAAAAATGTATAAAACTGTGCTTGTTGAGTTATCTGTCAGTTTAAAGACACTCACACACACACAAAAAAGACATTCAGAAAACTAAGATCATGACATTTGGTCCCATCACTTCATGGCAAATAGATGGGGAAACGGTGGAAACAGTGGCAGATTTTTTTGCTTTTTTTTGGTGGGGGGGCTCCAAACTCACTGCAGATGGTGACTGCAGCCATGAAATTAAGACACTTGCTCCTTGGAAGAAAAGTTATGACCAACCTAGCCAGCATATTAAAAAGCAGAGACATTACTTTGCCAACAAAGGTCCATCTAGTCAAAGCTTTGGTTTTTCCAATAGTCATATATGGATGTAAGAGTTGGACTATAAAGAAAGCTGAGTGCTGAAGAATTGATGATTTTGAACTCTGTTGTGGGAGGATACTCTTGAGAGTCCCTTGGACTGCAAGGAGATCCAAGCAGTCCATCATAAAGGAAATCAGTCCCTAATATTCATTGGAAGGACTGATGCTGAAGCTGCAGCTCCAATACTTTGGCCACCTGATGCAAAGAACTGACTCACTGGAAAATACCCTGATGCTGGGACAGATTGAAGGCAGAAAGTGTGAACAGAGGATGAGGTGGTTGGATGGCATCACCCAGGCATTGGGCATGCGTTTGAGCAAGCTCTGGGAGTTGGTGATGGATAGGAAAGCCTTGTGTGCTGCAGTCCATGGGGTCTCAAAGAGTAGGACACCACTGAGCAACTGAACTCTAGGTCTTATCCCATCCAGTTTAGACGTTTTACATTTATTCATAATCACTCTGTTTTGTCCAACTCTTTCCAAACCCCATGGACTGCAGCCCGTCGGGCTCTTCCATCCATGGACTTCTCCAAGGAAGAATACTGGAGTGGGTAGCCATTCCTTTTTCCAGGAGATCTATCCAACCCAGGGATGGGACATGGGTCTCCCACATTGCAGGCAGATTCTTTATTGTCTGAGCCACTAGTGAAGCCCAATCTAAGATTAGGAAATTGAATGTCTATACTTTTTAATTCATTCCCCTTCTTCTTTGGGTTACAATGTGGCATGAAGTCCCTTATGATGAGTTTTTTTCAGTCCAACCTCTTATCTAGGACTTAATTAACTGAAGAATTGTATAGAAGAAAAAAATTACTATTTGTAGTTTGCAAGCTTAGTCCTTTAAAGCCATCACATTTTGTTTCTTCAAAATCCTTGGCCATGAACCACCAGTGTATTTGAAACCAGGGGTTGAATGATCCATGGCTAATTCATTTCAATGTATGACAAAAACCACTGCAATGATGTAAAGTAATTAGTCTCCAACTAATAAAAATAAATGGGAAAAAAATAAAATAAAATAAAATCCAAAGGAGCATAAAAAAAAAAAAAGAAACATAATTTGAGGTGAGGAAGTATATAAGTAGAACACATTAATTCACTATTTCTTATATCATAATTATTTATCTACTGACACCAATATTAATCCTCCCTTAGACTGTGAAACTGCCTTGTGATTGGAATGGGAAGGAAGGGAGATGGCATAAATTGAAGCGAGGTTGAACTGTTTCCAGGTCTCAAGTTTAAGTGCAGACTTAAGAGCAACATATTGGTACTTTCAGTCAAAATTTCCACTTGCCATCACACTTGTGGTAAAGAGACCAATAGCTTTAAAATTATTGAATTAGAAAATGTGTTTTCCATGATCATAACTAATATCTAGTGAAACATAGATCCTGGTTAAGGAGCTAAACTATTTTAATGGCTTTTAGTGACAATGTCTACTTCTAACAAGTTTAAGAAATGGGAAAGTTGTTTTTTCAACAAACATATCTGTACTTCAGTAACATCATTTCTAATTCTGACCCTTGATTGTTATGTTTATTTTCATTTCTATTAGTAAATTGTTCTTTATAATCCTTATCAAGATTATATTTTCTTAAATCATCAAATTTTATATTAATATGTTCTTAAATGAAATGTTGAATAATGAATCGAATCTTTAATATCATCATAGGTTTTCAGTATGTGTTAAATGTAAATATATCTTATGGACATTTTTCATATGAATAGACTATAATGAATCATGCTATAATTTTAAATTATACCCTGTCATATTTATTCACCTTTATTCTTTTGTGATATAAGCTCCCCAGCTGATTTTTAACTAAACATTAAGGAACATATTTGCAGTTTTGCAGTATAATCATGCATACAATTTTAGTACACATTTCAACCATTTATCAATATTTATAAAAATGCACATTTCCATTTCTGATGTTCCAGGCTTTTACCTGCTTGAGAGTAAAAGAGTATGTAGTTTTTAAATTTGCCAACTGAAGGTGTATCCCCTGGTGGGTGGCCAGGGTTATGGATGAATAAACATTTCACAAACGTTATTAATAAGAAAATGGGGAGCTGGAACCCACACTCCCACCACGGTAAGGAGGGGTCCCGCCCACCATGCTCTGTCAACAGAGACTGCGTGGAGAGCACAGACACTATCTCCACCTGGCAGGAACAGAGCAGAGATCTCAACAGAGAGCCTGGAATGGAAATCGCGAAGAGCTGGGAGCCCTGCTCTCACCATCAGGACAAAAGATGGTCAGAAGGGGCACTGAAGCAGATCAAAACTCAGACCAGAGGAAACGATGGGAGACTAAGTTCAGCGGAGGCAAACAGGCGTTTTCTCAGAATGACATCCCGGCCAGGAACGTTAAAAGTAACATTGACACATCTACCTACAGAGAGAGAAGAAATTTAAGTTTATCAAGATAAAGCCACAATTAACAGTTAAACGCTATGAGAGAGACTCATCTTCGGACATTAAGGCCCAACGAGTTAACGCACATGAGGAATCATAGGATATTCAAGATCCTCAAATCCAAAACACGATTTTTTTCCTCCAGGTCTTGTCTCCTCAATCTGAGAGAAAATTAGTAACCAAAATGCCCCTGTCCCCACCCTGCTGCCTCCCGGGGTGCAGGCTCGCTCTCCCCCAAACTCAGCCACAGCCGGAGCCCGGGACGGACACCGCAGCACCTCGACCCCGTAGCCCCCCAAGCTCCCGAGCGTGCCCTCATGGCGCCTTGTCCCCAAAAGCCGCACCCCAGGGCCCCCAAGGAAGCATCACTACAAACAAAGCTAGTGGATGTGATGGAATTCCAGTTGAGCTATTTCAAATCCTAAAAGATGATGCTGTGAAAGTGCTGCACTCAATATGCCAGCAAATTTGGAAACCTGAGCAGTGGCCACAGGACTGGAAAAGGTCTGTTTTCATTCCAATGCCTAAGAAAGGCAATCCAACGAATGCTCAAACTACTGCACAATTGCACTCATCTCACATGCTAGTAAAGTAATGCTCAAAATTCTCCAAGCCAGGCTTCAGCAATACATGAACCGAGAACTTCCAGATGTTCAAGCTGGTTTTAGAAAAGGCAGAGGAACCATAGTTCAAATTGCCAATATCCTCTGGATCATCAAAAAAACAAGAGAGTTCCAGAAATACATTTATTTCTGCTTTATTGACTACGCCAAAGCCTTCGACTGTGTGGATCACAATAAACTGTGGAAAATTCTGAAAGAGACGGGAATACCGGACCACCTGACCTGCCTCTTGAGAAATCTGTATACAGGTCAGGAAGCAACAGTTAGAACTGGACATGGAACAACAGATTGGTTCCAAATAAGAAAAGGAGCACATCAAGGCTGTTTATTGTCGCCTTGCTTATTTAACTTATATGCAGAGTACATCATGAGAAATGCTGGGCTGGAAGAAGCAAAAGCTGGAATCAAGATTGCTGGGAGAAATATCAATAACCTCAGATATGCAGATGACACCACCCTTATGGCAAAAAAGTGAAGAGGAACTGAAAAGCCTCTTGATGAAAGTGAAAGAGGAGAGTGAAAAAGTTGGCTTGAAGCTTAACATTCAGAAAACTAAGATCATGGCATCTGGTCCCATCACTTCATGGGAAATAGATGGGAAGACAGTGGAAACAGTGTCAGACTTTATTTTTTGGGGCTCCAAAATCACTGTAGGTGGTGATTGCAGCCATGAAATTAAAAGATGCTTACTTGGAAGGAAAGTTATGAGCAACCTAGATAGCATATTAAAAAGCAGAGACATTACTTTGCCAACAAAGGTCCATCTGGTCAAGGCTATGGTTTTTCCAGTGGTCATGTATGGATATGAGAGTTGGACTGGAAGAAAGCTGAACACCGAAAAATTGATGTTTTTGAACTGTGGTGTTGGAGAAGACTCTTGAGAGTCCCTTGGACTGCAAGGAGATCCAACTAGTCCATCCTAAAGGAGATCAGTCCTGGATGTTCATTGGAAGGACTGATGCTAAAGCTGAAACTCCAATACTTTGGCCACTTCATGCGAAGAGTTGACTCATTGGAAAAGACCCTGATGCTGGGAGGGATTGGGGACAGGAGGAGAAGGGGATGACAGAGGATGAGATGGCTGGTTGGCATCACCGACTCAATGGGCATGAGTTTGAGTAAACTCCAGGAGTTGGTGATGTATAGGGAGGCCTGGAGTGCTGCAATTCACGGGATCAGTCGCACAGAGTCGGACACAACTAAGTGACTGAACTGACTGACTGACTGACTTATAATATTCTTGGCAGACTATTTTAAAAAATATACTGACAATCTTTAAAAATAACAATTTAAGTGTTAATAGAACATGAAAATTCATAGGATAGAATAAAAGTTTATAAAAGCATTACATTAAAGTGTATCTGTATATATTCAAACATTGAATAAAGATGGTAAAGAGTGGCAAGAAATATTCTTAAATATTAACCTTCATTTTTGGTTGCAGGAATTGTGTTCTTCATTTTATGTCATTTTTACATTTTCTGTTTTTCTTTCCAAATAAGATATAATTTATTCCAGCCATCATCACATGACATGCATGCATGCTCAGTCATGTTTGTGTTCAACTCTTTGTGACCCAATGAACTGCAGCCTTCCAGGATCCTCTGTACATGGGATTTTCCAGGCAAGAATATTAGTTGATTGCCCACTCTAGGGGATCTTCCTGACCGATGGATTGCACCAGTGTCTCCTGCATTGGCAGATGGATTTTCTACCACTGAGCCACCTGGGAAGCCTATCATTTTTTTAAACTACTATTAATTCCTTCAAAGCAGTCATTGTCTTTTGAATCTATGAGATGAAATGTCTATATTTTTTTCAAGTGATGGAGCTGGAATGATAAACTAGTTGAATCACTGACTGCCCACCAACTGTGCATGACTCTAACATCTACTACAGACCAACTTGTAGGGTCTTCTATTGAATGAAAACCCAGTGCTGTATCATGCAAATACATCAATAAGCCTTAGGTGTCCCAGCACACTCACCCACACAGTGTGTGTGTGTTAGCTTCTACTAGGTTATTTTGTGGACATAAACAACAGCCACGTTTCAATGAGTAACAACTAGGGTTTGTTTCTTGATCTGGCCCTAGGCCATCTGGCTTTCTTTCCTTTGTGCTCCAGGCATTCATTCAAGCGGCACCAAGGCTAATACAGAGCCCGACCCCCTGCCTTACTGCAGAGAGAAAACAGCATTTGGCAGAACCTTGCTATGGTGTTGGCAGCTTCTACTCAGATGTGGCACAGACTCCTTCTGCTCACCTGCCAGTGGCCAAAATGAGTTATTTGGCCAAGAGCAAGGGCTTTGTCCCCTCCACAGGAGGTCGCTGCAGCTTGCACAACAGGCCCCAGACATGAATGTTTCAATGGAAGGGGTGGGGGCAGGAATAATTGGAATCTCTAGAAATTGTCTTGGTCAACAGGGAAGGGGGTCATTTAAAAAAACAACTTTCTTTCATGGAAAAGCAACAGTGAGATGACTGCTTGATTTTTTTGATGCCATGCTCAAGAAAAAGAAATGCAAAAAGGCAAAATGGTTGTCATACAAGGCCTTACAAAGGAAGAGAAAAGAGAAGATAAAGGCAAAGGAGAAAAGGAAAGATATACCCATCTGAATGCAGAGTTCCAAAGAAAAGCAAGGAGAGATAAGAAAGTCTTCCTCTGCAATTAATGCAAAGATATAGAGGAAAACAATAGAAAGGGAAAGACTAGAGATCTCTTCAAGAAAATTAGAGATACCAAGGGAACATTTCATGCAAAGATGAGCACAATGGACAGAAATGGTATGGGTCTAACAGAAGCAGAAGATATTAAGAAGAGGTGGCAAGAATACATAGAAGAACTGCACAAAAAAGATCTTCATGACCCAGATAACCATGTTGGTGTGGTCACTCACCTAGAGCCAGACATCTTGGAATGTGAAGTCAAGTGGGCCTTAGGAAGTATCACTATGAACAAAGCTTGTGGAGGTGATGGAATTCCAGTAGAGCTATTTCAAATCCTGAAAGATGATACTGTGAAAGGGCTGCACTCAATATGCCAGCAAATTTGGAAAATTTAGCAGTGACCATAGGACCGGGAAAGGTCAGTTTTCATTCCAATCCCAAAGAAAGGCAATACCAAAGAATGCTCAAACTACCTCACAATTGCACTCGTCTCACACGCCAGTAAACAGATCGCCAGCCCAGGTTGGATGCATAAGACAAGTGCTCAGAGCTGGTAAACTAGGAAGACCCAGAGGGATGGGATGGGGAGGGAGGTGGGAGGGGGGATCGGGATGGGGAACACACGTAAATCCATGGCTGATTCATGTCAATGTATGACAAAAACCACTACGATATTGTAAAGTAATTAGCCTCCAACTGATTGAAAAAGAAGAAGAAACAAAAGTAATGCTCAAAATTATCCAAGCCGGGCTTCAACAGTACGTGAACTGTGAACTTCCAGATGTTCAAGCTGAATTTAGAAAAGGCAGAGGAACCAGATATCAGATTGCCAACATCTGCTGGATCACTGAAAAAGAAAGAGAGTTCCAGAAAAACAGCTACTTCTGCTTTGTTGATTACGCCAAAGCCTTTGACTGTGTGAATCACAATTGTGAAAAATTCTTAAAGAGATGGGAATACCGGACCACCTGATCTGCTTCCTGAGAAACCTGCATGCAGGTCAGGAAGCAACAGTTAGAACTGGACATGGAACAACAGACTGGTTCCAAATCAGGAAAGGAGTACGTCAAGGCTGTATATTGTCACCCTGCTTATTTAAAGTATATGCAGTGTACATCATGCAAAATATCAGGCTGGATGAAGCACAAGCTGGAATCAATATTGCTGGGAGAAATATCAATAACCTAAGATATGCAGATGACACCACCCTTATGGCAGAAAGCGAAGAACTAAAGAGCCTCTTGATGAAAGTGAAAGAGAGAGTGGAAAACTTGGCTTAAAACTCAAGATTCAGAAAACTAAGATCATGGCATCCGGTCCCATCACTTCATGGCAAATAGATGGGGAAACAATGGAAACAGTGAGAGACTTTACTTTTTTGGGCTCCCAAATCACTGCAGATGATGATTGAAGCCATGAAATTAAAAGATGTTTTCTCCTTGGAAGAAAAGCTATGACAAACCTAGACAGCATATTAAAAAGCAGAGACATTACTTTACCAACAAAGGTCCTTCCAGTCAAATTATGATTTTTCCAGCAGACTTGTATGGATGTGAGAGTTGCACTATAAAGAAAGCTGGGAGCCGAAGAATTGATGCTCTTGAACTGTGGTATTGGAGAAGACGCTTGAGAGTCCCTTGGACTGCGAGGAGATCCAACCACTCAATCCTAAAGGAAATCAGTCCT